ATATATAATAGAGGTAATGCTAATAGAGGTAATGCAAAAAGGTGAGTGAGAAACAAAATACTTTTCGGCGCCGTGCCCGTGTCCGTGCTTCTTAGAGTTTAAGATGGATATGTGAAAAAGTTAGATGGATTAATTTCTCCAAATGGTAAAGGCTGTCATAGACAAGTCAGTCATAGAGCATGCCAAGTTCAAACCAAATTAAACAAAATTCACAAGCAAGATTGAATCTAACCAAGACTATTCTGTATAAGCTACAGAAGACAGCAATCCTCTTATAAATGTGTTTTTTGAACTATTTGTGTTAATAGCTTTTTAGTTGAAAATTTCCAATGTCCAAGAATTTAGTGGAATTTAGTGGAAAAGGATGCCAAGTCTATACATTTCAAAGTTTTTCCAATAATTTATGACAAAATTTCTGTAAGTGCAACGTAAAGATTACAGTTTTTTCAAGTTTTTTGGTGGAAATTATTAATTCTTTCTGAGCGTGCGCAGTGTAGAATACTAAATTTTATTTTGTTTTTTGCCTGAAGTTATTTGAAACAAACTGCTTACACAATTTGCAAGTCATTTGATATTTTCTTAATTCTCTATTCTTTTGTATTGTCTCTTTGCTATTGCAGGGATCTACTCTTCAAACCTGTTGTGCTTGGTATGAAAGTATTTTGTTGATTGAACTTCAGTGGACGATGTCATCTTCAGCAGATTAATTAACTTTTTTCGTGTTCAGCTTGTGGTCATATGTCATGTTTTTGGTGTGTGCATCGGGCTATGCGTGGCTTTGGACCATCCCGTTGTCCAATATGCAGACAGCGCTACATTCATTTCCCTAGCATATGCCAGGTGCTTCACGTTTTGGTTTCAAAAACGGAACCTGTAGCATACAAACGAAGGGAAAAGGAAGTCCTAGGTAAGCTGATGAAGCTTCCAGTATGACCTTTTGACTTTTTTATTTAGTTCACTGTTCATTGTCTTACTGTGAAATTGGAGCTCTTCGATTACAAATATTAATGATAGATTATATTTTTAATAAACTGATGGATCTGTTGAGGTATCTCTTTTTTGTTTCATGCAATCATTGTCATCATTGGTTTTACCTAACTATTCGGTGTTGACTCTATGTATTCTCTTTGTTATATTCTACTTTGGTTTGAAGTTTACTAGTTAGGCTGCAGCATATTCTCGTTTATTGCATTAATAAGAGTTGAAAGCCAACATATTTGACCTGATCCATCAAAATTACATGAGCGAGACGGTATGCATTAGGTTCAATTTGGATTTAGCTCATTGTTACTGGAAAGCAGATCAATGTGATCATCAAAGTTGGAAATTTCGATCGAGCTATTACACTCTCCAACAATTTAGTTCAATTTTTTTTTTATTCAGCTATTTGATTTGATTTTGATTCTAGTTATAGCTAGAGAACATACGGAAAGGCTTTTTACTGATTTCTTATCCAAGAGCATTTTTAAACCAATTTATTTGGCTCGGTTCTATATTGTTTACTGCAAATTATAACATGGAAAAAGATTTTAATCTTAAAAGAATTTATTTATTTTCAATTGAACGGTGGAATTTATATTATGTTTTGCTTAGTTTAATTCTGTTGAGCAACATGAGTGGAGAATGCTACATATGTTTGTTATTCATTGGAAGATGCACAATTTTTGGTAAATAGAAGCCTCTTCTAGAATGATACCTTCTGTAGTAACGAGACTACTGCGGCTACTAAACATTCTTTATCCATACTTGCATGCTTTGAAATAGATTTTGTGTTTAAAGTGGTATGTATGACACCTTAATTCATTGGCATTGTGACAAATTTTTGATAAACTCGCTTGCATGTTCTTCTCTCATCGCTGAAGCAATTCTGAAATACATGTTATTGCTCTGCATGCTTATATGTTGTAGAGTGTAGATTTATCTGTCATCAATTGCAAGGCTTGCTGCTTTTATTAAGATTTTTGTGACTGATAGAAGCGCTCCTTTTTTGCTAATGTTTCTTCCTTTGGATGCCGTTCATGCTTGTATTTCAGAGGAAGAGAAACGCTGTCATGTCTTCTCGCCACAATTTAATTCCCTAGACTCTAAGAACGTTTCTTGTGGTAAAATGCAAACCTCAGATTTGCGTTAGCTCCTGTCTTTACAAAACTTGGTTATGGATGTTTGTCATTTTTTACTCAGATGATAGTGGTTCAGGTGCTGTAAGAAATACTGTAGATTCTTTTGTGAATCATGAAAACATCAGAACTAATATTTCAGAAGACATTAGTTTGCAAAACCATTGCTCAAATAATGATATTTCTAAGGATGTTCTCTGCACCCTGTGCCAGGAATTGCTATTCCAGCCAACCGTGCTTAATTGCGGTCATGGTGAGTGGCCTGTCTTGGATGCTATAGCATCATGTTGGCTGCGTGCTTAACTTAACCGAAGAACGTTATACTGATGCTTATGTTTTTGTGCAGTGTTTTGTGAGTCTTGTTTGGCCGGAATAGGCAGTGAAATTCTGATATGCCCCATTTGCCAAAGCATACATCCGGAAGAATTTCCAAAAATTTGTTCTGTTCTTGACCATTTCTTGGAAGAACACTTCCCAAATGAGTATGCTACTAAGAAAGAGAGATTAAAACAGCTTGAAAAAGTAAAGCTTCCCGGTGGAGGGCCATCATCCAGTAAGCTTTTCTTTATATCATTTACTCACAAGTCATTTTAATTACTTCTTTAGAACTTTATCATTGGATAGCGATATGTGGCACTATGGTCTTGACAAAAAAATACCAAACTTATGTTTATTGATGATTGCTAGCAATCACTCAAAAGCCAGAAAAATGATGATTACGTTGCTTTGCACGAACTTCAAAAGATGGAAAATCGTATCACTAATGTTTCAAATCATCATCGAGTGCTCACCACAAGCGGCTCTTTATCTTCAACTTCTGGCCTAGGAATCAGTTATGTCGCCATGACATTGCTCACGTGCTTTTGTGTGCCTTAATCTATCCGAACCATTTAAAAGTGTTTCTTTCTACATTTTAAAGGAATTTTTTTTTGGGAACTTTGCTTGACCCATCTTTGATTCTTTCAAGGGAAGACTGGTCGGATTGGCCGTATCACTCACTTTAAATCCAGTCTCTTTTGGCAATCAGCGATGCGATTGAAGTGTTGTCTTTTATTTACAACCTTCAATGTGCCACCCTTAAGATGGTTTTATATGCTTTGATAAGTGTTGCTCATAGTTTGACTCTAAGTTGCAGCTCATCACCCAATTTGCAGTTGTGTAGAAGTCTCTCAATAATTTACAAACACTATTGAATATGAGATAAAGGCTATTTAAAATGCTCCTAGACTTGATATAAACTTTTAACCTGAGATGTTACACCTGTAGGACTTAAAGCCAGCAGTTGCACAATACTTGTCCAAGCTTTTCGAAAGTACCATTTCCCTATTCCCTTGGCATAAAAGTACCTCGGTCATTGATAGAGTCGTTTGAACTCGCTTATGATTAGTTAAATGCTAACTATATTATTGGGTGATCTTAGCTCAAGAAATTTGTGCCTTGAAAATTGATGATTACTATCAGCAGCTTCAAAATTATTGACACAAGAAAAATCGCTGTCATATTAAATTAGCAAATCATAACTTCTTCAAGATAATCACATTGAGAATATGATGCTTTTGTTAAAGATTGACATTTTTTTGTGATTCTATCTTATGATTAGTGAACATACATTTTTTATGTTGGAAGGACCATATATCATCCAAAAAAAAGTTGGATAAGGAGCTTAATGGCTACAAACATACGTGGGAAAAGTCATCTCAATGATGACAACATAGTGATTCTTTTTCTTAAAGAAAATATATAAAAAGGGACGCGATAGCTGTAGATTCACTTTTCCCTGGCTTTGGTTGTTTCTTAAGTTCTCATCTCCTATGGTCGAGTCATGGCTCCTTGTCGCTGAGATAGGACTCCTCGTGTCGCAAGCTGCTTTTTCTCTCTTGACTTCATGACAAATACCCTTCCAATGTCATCTAAAATGTCTCAAGCTGAAGTATAGATGTATCTGTTGAGCCACTTCCATTATCCAACTGTCTGCCAGAGGGTTACCGCTTCACATGAAAGGGAAAATATCCATTATTCACATGAAAAGATTTACCGGGATTAGCTTCGACTCGGTCTTTAGCTTTCGTTATATGAAGAATTAAGCTCCAGATTTAGCTATTAAGGAGTCATTCCTATGCATGTGATGCCCTACTCGATTGCCGTTATCATGGCCTTTGTGGTCTTTGCTTGTCGGAAGGGGATTGTTTGGTTAATTGAGCTCTTCAAGCACTTGTTTTCTTTTCAATTTTACCCGGGAGGATATGTCTAGTTTTCGTCGCTGGCGATTCCACTTTCGCCATCTCGAGAATAAGGTGAAGGATTGGTTCAGAGAGTGGCTGGCTGGTCCCGGCAACTCCGTTTGTCGTTCCCCTGTTGAAGGCCAAGGGGAAGATTTTGCTCGAAGTGCAGAGGGAGGCTAATAAGATTGAAAAGGAGGTTAGACATTAAATAGTATTTGGAGGCTTCATCAATCAATAGGATGCTGGCTCTCGATAAGTACAGTAGAATGACGTGGGCGGAATGGTAAGTTTTTGATGCCATGTTGGTTGAACGGAAAAGGATAATGTTGTTTTGGCGCAAAAAGGGTGAAGGAACAACCAGTTGAGGGCTTTCCAGGCAATATTTTCTTTTTTTCAATCTTTTGTTCGACTATTGTCTTTCAGAAGAAGGGGATGGGCAAGCTAATCATTATTGGCGACCGTCTTACCACAATGAAATGACATTTGTTTGTACTGCAGATACTCCAGATGATAGTGAACTAGCTGGCGACGTGGGATCTGATCGCGGTGGGGCTGCGGTTGAGGCGAAGCTTTCCGAGGACGTATCAGGTGGTTGTATCAGGTGGCCCTTTGGAAGTGGCGTCACTTGATGCCCATTTTGATAATAGATTTTTATCTTTGGAACAGAGGAGTGCTGCAGGTTGGGCTTCTCCGGAGGTATGTTTGGTGGGGTTCAGAGATGATGAGGCAAGGGGTGGATCCATCTGAGTAGAGGAGCGTTGCCACTTAAGCCTCTTCTGCGGAGGTATTGTCGGTTGTGTCAAGAGAGGATGAGTTGAGGGAGGAAGTATAGTTTGAGGGATCGTAAGATGATGAGCTGTGGGAAGAAGGCCGACCCTGGGAGCTAGGAGAGGGAAAATTGATGGAATAAGATTTGTTTAAGAGGGTTTGATGGGATAGTGAGCGTCGTAAGAGGAAGGGTCCTTCTGAGGAGTCTGCTCGGAAATGAAAACGCGCATCCTTTCCTAGAGGCATTGTGTGAGGGACAAGATATGCTGCGCCGGGGGGGTTGGGGGGATATGCTCAAGTGGATCTTATTGAGGACTGGAATTCCCGTGATCTTTGATATACCTCTACATTGAGTCCAGTTATCGCTTCTCTTTCGGTGGCTGAAGGCTTCTCTAGGATGGACCTGAACAAATTGATGGAGGCGAACCTAAGGATGATTATAATCTTATTGGCAGTTTCGGCTTGTCCATTCGTTCACGGATGATTGATGGAGGCGAACCTAAGGATGATTTTTTGATAGAAATCTCTGACCCCTTGATCGTAGAATTGCATCCCATTGGTGGTAATGATGGTGAGGGGTAGGCTGTATTTGTAGTCGAGGTCCGTTAAGATGAAATTGCACATGATGCAGGCTGTTATTCGAGCGAGTGCCTTGACTTCGATCCACTTGGTGAAGTAGTCGACTACCACCAACATGTACTTTTGTTGCCCTTTGGAAGGGGGAAAATGTCTGAGGATACCATGTCCATAGAAAACGAATGACCACGACTTGATGATGGGTTGTAATTGGTGTGAAGGTTGGTGTTGCATTAGCATGAACTTCTGGCATTGTTCGCACTGTGAGAATTCCTCTATGTCCTTTGTGAAGGTTGGTAAAAAATATCCCTATCCTTGTATCATGCTGGTCAACGGTTTTCCTCTTGAATGACTTTTTGCATTTGTCAGTGTGCCTTTATGAGGATAACTTCAACTTGACTTTCACACACACACCTCAAATATAGGAAGTTGCCGACCTTTGAAATAACTTATTGTTCAATATAAAATATTGTGCGGCTTTGAATTTGAAGCATCTTGGATCAACAACATCTTTGAAGATGTCTTCTGTTTTAAGAAAGTGAATGCAAGGGTCGACCCAACTTTCTGTCCTTTTGGCCTCTACTTTGATTACGTCGTCCTCTTCGAAGGTCTGGTGTGAGAGTTTATGGGGAATCCTCTCTCCTAGGCGCTTGCATTTGGATAGGAGGTCTGCTATCTAGTTGTCATCCCTAAAGATGTGTTTAAGTCTGAAGCGTTAAAATTTTCGTATTTTCTCTCTTGTTATTGCGAGATAGTGCTTCATTATTTTTTCCATGGCCTCGAATCACCCTAATACTTGCTCGACCATGATCTGTGAGTCGAATTTTATCAGAAGATGTCGGACGCCCATCTCGTAACTGAGATGCAATTCAACCATGAGGGCTTTGTGTTCGGCTTGGTTATTGGTAGTGTTGAATTCCACTTTCATTAAGTGGTATAGGTGATCACCACTGGACACTTGAGTGTGAGTTCGAGTCTTTCTTTGTTTCGGTTGGATGCTCCTTTAGCATGAAGGATCCACTGGACACTTGAGTGTGAGTTCGAGTCTTTCTTTATTGCGGTTGGATGCTCCTTTAGCATGAAGGATCCAGTTAAGATTTGGGGCGAACTCACTGATGGGTCGTTAGGTTCGGTGAAGTTGGTCTGGAAGTTCGCCATGGCTTGTGCCTTGACTTCTGTTTTTGGGACATAAGATAGGTTGTATTCACTGTACTCCATAGCCCATTTCAGGAGTTCGTCAGAATGTTTGGGCTTAACTAGGACTACCTTGAGAGGGTGGTTGGTAATTACTCTGATTGGGTGTGTTCGAAAGTAAGAGTGAAGCCTGCGTGGAAATAATATGAGCAAATGTTAGCTTTTTCATGATGGGACACTTATGTTTTTCTCCTCTGAGGACCTGGCTGATATAGTAGAACAAAAATTGTCTTCCTTGTTCTTTTCAATTCAGGATAGAGCTTATCGCTTAGTGTCCGACTCCCGGGTGGAGTGAGAGATCTTCGTTTGGCTTCAGACTCTAAAGTAAAGGTGGAGAGGCTAGGGAATTCGTTAACTGTTGGAAGGCTAACTTGCATTCGTCCGACCATATGAATCATTAACTCGTCTGAGGGTTTTGAAGAAGGTAACACACTTATCACCTGACTTTGATATGAATCGGCTAAGCCCGACGATTCGTTCGATCAACGTATATAATTCCTTGACGAGAGGATTGGATTTGGACTAGGGCCCAAACCTTCTCGTGACAAACCTTTATTCCTTCGTGGTTTAAGAGTCACCCCAATAATTTTCTCGTCTTTGTGTCGAACGTGCATTTGAGTGGGTTAAGTTTCATATTATATTTTTTTAGAGTTCTAAAAGTTTCTCTTTGGTCTTTTGTGTATTGCTTGAGAGTTTTATTTTTGACCAACACATCATTAGCATACACTTCATTGTTTTTTCTTTTCTGTTCAACAAAAATTGCATTCATGAGGTGTTGGTATGTCGTTCCAAC